AAAGTATTTGATTTTCCTTTCTTCCCTCAGACCCTTTYAGTAGCATCCGCATCCTACATTGTTTACCATGCAAATATCACCAACATTCAATCGCAAATAATTCAGTAACTACACGCTCAAAAAGAACTCTAATCATCACAAATATACGTAGTTTTGAATGCTTTAAAAGGATATGATTTATGTTATATTTCAGTACGATTATGAATAATTAGTATTCGAGACATCAAAGTTTTTTGTGAAAACTAAAAATCRATGTTATTTAATTTCTTACCTTATGTTCAGTCAGAATMAGCGTAGCKCTCCAACTGCATTAAATAATTGATATCCTAAAATAAGGATTTCGTAGTTGAGCTGAAATTTATAGAGCGAGTTAGTGTGAAATCTCAAACTGAAAAACCACAACTGTTTCGAGTTTCGAGTTTCGCTCCAAACCAGAAAGTGAAATATGAGCATGCAGTGTAAATACTGCCGCTTTCCCATTGGCTGATTCATTAGACATTAATCCATCAGTCAGCCACGACCTTCTTTCAAGACTTCCGGGACCTTTTAGTGGTCCTTTTGAAAATTTCTGACGATCATCTACCATAGTTTCGTAGTAGCACTAGAGATAATANAATCCATCAGCCAGCCACGCCCTTCCCGGATCTTCCGGTGCCAATTTTGGAGGAATGAGCAATAGATACTAGAGAGTTTAAGATAAGCTTCAAAGGCGAACGCCAAGCGTCAAAACTGATCACGTCATGGATCACTGTTTTTCTGTGTATTAACTCTCCGTTCTTTGGCGATCGTGCATAAAATAGATCACTTTTTTATGCATCCGCTGCTTTAGTTGACAACAGTATCTAATGCGCAAAAGACCTTGGCAAAAACAAAAGAAAGCACGAAAAAATGTTGTCATTACAATAGCCCTATAAATTTGAATTTTCTTCGATTCTGTAGAGTGGTTTTCCGTTAACCATGAAAGCACAATAAGTCTCATAGTTAGTAGTAGTTTGCCATAGACCAATACTCCGATTTCGAGTTCTGGTTTGCTCTGTGTTAGCCTCAAAACCAAGCAACGTATTCTTTTGTTTCATTGATAGCCCGAGAAAACGCATGGAATTTGAAAAGAAAAACAATGGGATTCATTTGAAATCTCACACTTTTATTCTCACAATTAGGAATTTTTTGCGCACAAATGAGGCTAACACAGAGCATTGGAGAATTGGAAACTGGATTATACTAATAGTCTAGTCTAGAGTAGACCTGTATCCGATTATAGGCATCAACATATTCATCACAAAAACAAGTGTTTTATGTTAATTTTAGTGGTTAGCTATTTGTCTATGTCTAAAAGTTATATTGACCATTACTAATTGCTACTAAGAGTTGGTCTATTTCTTTTCATGGTTGACGGAAAAGCACTCTATTCCCAGAAGGTTCAAACTCTTGCTCAGKCTCAGCCTCAAACTGGGAAGATTTGAATTTTTTAAAGCTATTGTGATATTAACATGCTTTCTTTAGTTCTCTGCGTGAGTCTGTTGTGTGCTAAAACAGCGGTCGCTCGCATTGAACTGGAAAAAGGCTTATTCGACGTTTGGTCATTGTGAAAGTTACTCCACAGATGGTCTCTGTGACTTAGGAGTTGGGTGGTTGTATATTACATACAGATTTCTTGTTCATTTGCATAAGCTTTAACTCTGATTTTCTCGTCAGATTGAATTTTTTTCAAAAGTTTCTTTAAAACCTGAGCTAGCTGCCTCTACGTTTCATAATATACAATATTCGCGTGCGATCTGTATGAGGTTTAAAACAGCTCGCTGTTTTAAATCCTCATACAGATACAGATGGCCCGCTCATATTGTATATATTACATACAAGGCCGCTCATGTTGTAAATATTACTTAACAATACCACTGTACCATTTTTCCTACAGATACACTCACTTCCCATCAACTTCATGTTTTTTGAGCGGGTATGCATTATGATGCATGATATTTTCAACAGTCAAGCCCCAGACAATTTTAACTGCTTATTCAGATCATTGGAAAATGTCCATCGATACACGACACGATCAACATCAAATAAATGTATTTACGTTGATGGCGTCAGAACTGAATCTTGTAGGCGTTCTTTTCGTTTTATGGGCTCTAAAATCTAGAATAGTCTCCCTGTTTCTATTAAAAGTCTGAATAAGTTCAAATTCAAGACACTGATTAAGAGCATCTCTCTCGAGATTTTAGAAAAAGCAGACGATTTTTTAGATATCGATCAGATTATTAACGAGCTAAAGGCTTCATACTGAGGAACACCTTTGTCATCATTTTATATTTAACCTAATATTTATTGAATAATTTCCTAATATACGTACTCAGACTGTGACTGATTTTTGACATTTTTATACTAGTTTTTCTCCTTCATTATCGCCCTCGCCTCGAATAGTCTTGGACTAATAGTCAAGCAGCAAATGTCGCGAAAATTACTCCCGTGGGACTTTGATGAAGAAAGCAGGCCACCTATCCAGATATGTTAAGATACACCTAAGAAACAATAAAAACTTTGTTGACAACCTGTCAACTTGCTAGGATGGCTGTTAAGGGGATATTCATTCTGACTATCTGACCTTTAGCATGGAAACGAGACTTTGAATGTTGTGCTTAAAAAACATGCTAATTATCATGAATCATCTCAAAACTAACTTGTATCACTAACAAGCATCTAAGTAACAATTTTTTGATATAAGGGGGTGATCACGTGACTAAAACCTAATTGCATGAAATTGAGGCTATAATATTATAAGTCACTTTATTGCTATATTCTTGCGTTTTTTTTATCGCAACAATTAGTCAGATTGCTCAAGTATCTCTTTAGAGGTGTTCTGGAGTAGTGGTACGTCATCAAGTACATCATATCGAGGCTGAAATGATTTTATTCCCGCCTTTTATTCCTTACAGCCTTTTTGCATATGGACGTTGTTACTGATAACGGAAAAAAACTTGTTAAAAAGCAACAACACATGAATAGTACCTAAATGATAACATTGCAATCACGTGGCTAGAAARTGTTTGCATAAGAACGAGGCTAAAATGTACAAAGACTTTTTAAGTACTATCTACTAAGGCATTTTGAAAAATTTGCACTCGAGTACTTCATGTGGCTGTCTGATGCTGCTGCTTCAATGCGCTGTGTAATAAAGTATCTTAACATTCATCTTAAACAACCTTATGTGTATATATAATGATATACAATGATCAAATATCGTCTTCGTCCTCATCTTCAGAGTAGNAAACTGCCATGTTTTGTCCCAAAGATATCCTACAATGCATTGCGTATACGGTACATGACGTAAAACCTTCAGAGGTCTATATATATAATATGATTACAGTAATCAGTACTACTATATATCATTTGTGCTTTATTGAACGATTCTTACAATTTAAAGCAACACTTGTTACAAAGCATTTCACAGATACAATGAATTCACTTCAATACAAATACAATTGGTATTAAACCAAATTTACACTTCCTAAAAGAGTTAATAACTGTTATTTACACATATTAGCAAATGATTTTGAACAATGGATTGAAGTTGAAGCTTTTGGGCAACAAACAACAGGTTTTCCCAAAAACCTTGACGTCAACCCATTGTTCGAAATCATTTGTTTATAACTAAAATAACAGATATTTCACATGTAGTATTTTCATAAGTTCTTTGCATTCTAATGACTTTAAAGATCCCCAATTCTTCCATAATAGTGTAGCTCTCTTCATAATATATGGTTCCATATATAGACCGGCTTTTTGTAAGATATGGACTAGTATCGATCATTATTAGCCCAGATAACTAATGATTAGGTATTGCGTCAACTGTTCTAAAATACTTCACTTCTACAAGAAATAATCTGGGGTGCGTCKTGTGACGTGYGGCTCTCCTCTTCTTGGGGCTGGGTCGAACTGAAGGCTATAAATGAAATGTTCTCGAGTAATTACTACATTGTACTTTTAAAATGAGGGATGATCAGGGTTCGTGCTAGATTTTCACTACAAAATTCCAGGACTTTTCAAGTACTTTTTAAGCACAAAAATGCGATTTTCAAGGACTATATACTACTCAAGATATATTTGAAGGTTTGCAGACGTTTCCAGTGGCGATTTCCGAAAAATAGCCACATTCAATCAAAGAGCTAACAAGCAACATGTCAATTTGATCAGATTCAAGGAGTTTTCCAGGAGTTTTACCGATTTTCCTCATTTTCAAGAACATTAGTTTGTACATGTACTTACAAGGAGTATTTGAGAGAGTCATCCAGTTCCATGATGGCTGCCTGGTTACCACAGCGATAGCAGTAGTTTGGCGCACTGAATATAGTCACTACATTTCTATCATGACACCAGTTATAACCCTGACGAAGCAATAATCATTCATTAATCATAAATTAATGATTAGACACATTTTGACAACTATATAATTGGACCCTTGATAATGAATAAAATTCGCAGTAGCACTTTGCCAAAATGGCTTCCAGTAATAAGCAGACTTCTTGTTCAACCAAGTCTTTCAACATTTAACACAAAAATTGCCCTACTTCACTCTTTCCGTCCCTATCTTGGTTATGCCATCCTCAGGAACCCAGGGGTAATCTTCTGTCGTTCGTTCCTCACTCCCAGAAAAAATACCCCTGGGYACRAAGTYTGTTARACCTTGTTCYCGATTCGAAATTCAAAATGGCGGCCGGTAAATATCTGATTGGTCGAGTGATTACAAGTTGATGTGCTCTTGCAATCAAGGT